GATCATCTGGATTATAATTTTCCACGCTAGTTCTAACCTGTGACCCCTCTGTGTGTTGTATGATAAACCTTTAAAGTGGGATTAACGATGTGAAGATCAAATCAAACTCAAAAGGCTTTGAAAAATCAGTAACACAGACCACCAAACAGTTATCCTTTATTCATCCCCAAACACATAACCTGGGCGAACTGCTGCTGCTGCCTCACTGCCTGCCTGGTCTTCACCCCCTCCCTGGCATGCAGTGATGCAATAAATCATAAATAATACTGGCACAGAAACCACTACTATCTCTGGCAGTGGACAGCATGTGGCACTCTATGAGTGATGGTGGCCCAGCATTCAGGTTCAGGTGGCTCAGGAAAACAAGTTTCTCACTTTCCTGTCACAGACACTCCTGAAATGACAAAGCGGGCAGGGTCAGGGGCTATCCAGGGACCTTGCCTCTGCCTCTAACTGCCCTTTATAAAATGGCCATAGCACAATCCGCTGTATTCCTTCACTGTGGTATGCTCCTGAACAATAGGACAAGAAATATTGGCACTTTCAAGAAAATTGAATTTCAATTTAAGTAAAGCAGAAGTGACCCCCTGCCCTTCCTGTCCCTGTCCCTGCATTATTTTTCTCCATACCCCATCACCACTTGACATACAATAAGTTTTACCCTCGTTAATTGTCCATCACTCCCTCCTGCAAAATATAAGTTCCTTTAGAGCAGAGACCTCTCTGCCCACTCTGTCCACTGCTCCATCCAAAATGTTTGGTAACAGGCAGCCAAGGCACAATAAATCTTTGTTGGATTAATTAATGGATAGCTTTTTGAAAAGTTCTCAGCCATTTTTGGAGATCATGATAAAGATGTTCTTTTGCTTATAAAAATGTATAGACATTCAAAACATCTTGGCATTCAAATTCAGGGAGTTTACAGAAATCTTGACATCCATCCATGAATCAGTCTCTTCCATTAAAAACCCATTAGTATAATCAAGAAAGCCTGCATCAGCAGCCCAGGTTTTAGATTCTAATCAAGCTCCACCAATGCCTTGCTTTGTGGCTTTGGACAAGTCGTTCCTACAATCTAGACCTCACTCTCAAGATCTGTAAAGTAGCTGGAACATACAAGGTGATCTAGCACATCCATTTCAGACCTAAAATTGTTGATTCTCTAGTGCTGTAGAAGTCAAATACTCTAATCCAGATCCTTCGCTGTGCAGACTGAAAAATTGAGACCCAGAGAAAATCAAGTGCTAGCCATTGCCCCGGAATGACTCTGCTTTGATCTGGAATTTTTCCATTACCCAAAGTTGTGTGTCTTCCTGCTCTTTCATTGCTAAGATGTGGTTTCCAGTTCGAGGCTTGATTGATTGGTTCAGTCAATGCTTTTTTGTTGATTTGACCCAATTCCAGAGCCATGGAAAGTTGGCCACTTATGGTTGATGGGAAAAATAAAGGAAAGGTATAGCAGTCTTCTTACCGACTCAGCTATTCTTATCAGCCTATTTTTTTCACATTTTCTTATCAAAGAGGCTCATCCACATGGTATAAATTCAAGGTAATGATCAGGTGGGAAAGGTTGGACTTAACTAGAAGAAGACATTTTGGAACAGGGAAAATCCACAAGTCAATGCCTGTCAGAGCTCTTGGTTCAGAGTAGGTAATCAGTCACTGGAGGGAAGGATTAAAAAAGGGTGGTAGACACTGGATGATTTAAAGTTGTTGTTTCCATGTCTAACTTTCAGATTCTATGAAGACCAGGGGATGAGGAGGATGTTTTCTGTAACTTCTTCCTTCCCCAAATTGTATATATGCCGCTTCCCATAGTTAGAGTAGGACTCTGAACTAAAGCCAAGTGCAGATACAGCAGCTCATTACTGCATTAGTTTTCTGTGGCTGCTATAAAAATTACCAGAATTGGTAGCTTAAAAAATGTATTCTCTCACAGCTTTAAAGGCCAGAAGTTCAAAGTCAGTTTTACTGAGCTGTAATCCATGTTGGTAAGAGCACACTACTCTGGAAGCTCTAGGGCAGTGTCTGTTCCTGGTTTCTTCCAGCTTCTGGCGATTGCCACCATTCCTTGGCTTGTGATTGTATCACTTCTCACTCTGCCTCTGCAGCCACACTGCCTCCTAGTCTTCTGTGTGTTGAAATCTCCCTCTCCCTCTGTCTTATAAGGACACTTATGATTGGATTTAGGGCCACCCAAAAATCTTAGAATGATCTCACCTCAAGATCCTTAACTTAATCACATCTACAAAGATTTTTTTTTCTTCAAGTAAGGTACATTTACTAGTTCCAGGAATTAAATGTAGACATATCTTTGGGAGGCCATTTTTCAGCCTACCACAGTTTCCTTCAGAGATACTCACCCAGGACAACTGTTCTGGACAGTTACACCTGTGGGAGTTCAGTCAGGCTGGTGGGAAAAGTTTTAAGATGAAATTATAGGATATTGACACAAATCTTCTTGGAAGGCTGGAAGGTTTTTTGCAAAAGTCTCAGGATAGGGTTATGACTGAAAGCAGCCTAATCCTTACCTTGAGTAAATAACTTAGAGGAGACACATAGGAATGTAGAGAAGTTTATCTAAATATGTGGTCCTAAAACTAACCTTTGATCATTCGCAGGCAGCATGGCTCCCTCAGGGGAAGGCAACCGGGTTGGTTACCCTCTAATGCTGCTGACTCAAAGCTTTGTCATTTAATGTGTGCTGAATAAAAGCCAGCAGGGCCAGAGAGTCAGGGCCATGGCTGCAACTCTTCACAGCACTCTCCTTGAAGTCTGTAAGTGGCCCAGACCCTCAGCTGGACTGACAAGCATAATACCTGTATCAGTGTACGTTATTCATCCATCATTGGGTCAGGGGCTGTGGACAGAACCCTGCAAACACCCTTGTCCCCACTGTTACCTAGATATGAAGACAGATCCTTCCTTTCTAATTATTCCCCTTGAATATAATTTGATAAAGTTATTTCTATGCTTTTTACCACTGTTATTATTTTGAAAACAAAGAATAAGAAAAGAGAATGAAGAAGAGTCTCCTTCCCCCCTGTTCATACAGGGATAAACTATTTCATGCTGACTGGGCTGGGTCATTAGAAATCAGGCCCATAGAAAGTCAGGAGGTCAGACAGGCTGGGTAAATTATAGTTAAAACAAAGTTTGTGAACATAGCATGGCAGGAGAACTATGAACCACTGTTTTCACAGTTCAAGGTAAGAGGTTCAAGAAGACATCAGGCAAAATCAAAACAGAAATATGGTAAAGGCATTAGGAGCCTACTTTTAGCAAATTTCAGTGGCTTTGTATGGTGTGCTCAGTTCTGCACAATCAACTTCTCTTTACATAAAGGGACTCCAAATCTCAGGCCAGGATCCTTCCCTGGTGGAACACATTGCCAACTAAGGGGGCCTTTCTGGGGCAGCTACCTTCCTTACCCAGCCCCAGCTCAAGCCCCTGACTGCAGCACCCTGATGGGAACACAGGAAGCTGCACAGCATTTACCTCTCAGGAAGCAGGCTAGGAGTAGAAGCATGAGAGAAGATGCCTTATAGTCTGCCTTGACAACACTGTTATGTCCCTGTAAGTAAGAATCGTATAAAGGAAATTGCAGATGAAATAAGAACACCTTCAAAGCTGAAAGTTGCCCCAGATTTGTGGCCTTGCATTAAATGCATGGCAATTGCTGTACAAGTTCCCATAATTGGCTAAGAAATCACACAGCTGGGGCTTTCACTCAGCCCAGGGAGATGGAAATGACTTGTAGTCCTTACAAACAGAGGTTTTTCATGTCTCTCCCCAGAGTAACCTGAATGTTTGCTGCCACACAGAGCATATTACTGTCCCAATTTGTTCTTTTTACATTCCTCAGGAGACAGAACACCACAGGAAAATATTCCTGTCTTATAGAGGCCATATGTGTCTTCCCATTGGTCTCCTCCAAAGACTTCTTGCCACTTTCTCTCTCCCAGCTGTCTTCTCTTCCAAATCTCACTGCCAACAGCCAGTAAGGCTCACATCATTTGTCCTGGAGTTATTGAAATAATCTTCTCATTGTTCTCCCTGCTCCAGTCCCCACAACCCTCATCTCATCGTGCATAGCCTACAGTTTATGTGTCAGTTTTATCATGTCACAACCTTGTAAGGGACTCTTCCACTGCCAGCCTCCACGGTTCTGTGGGTGGTGTCCATCAGCTGTCAGGGCTGGCACATCATCACATTAAAAACATTTACACTAATGAAGATTGCAAACAATATATTAATTTTCCATATTAAACCAAATTAAAAGGTACACTTTATAATAAAGTCACTTTCATTGACTCATCGTAGACGTTCCCAAGTTAAGAGAAAAATGGGTGAGTTATTTTAGCCAGCAAAGTGGGAATTTCATATGACTCATGGCCTCCTACCTGTACTCTTCATTTTGCAACAATTATGAATTACTAAAATGTTATAAATTTGATTTTCAGTGACTTTCATTTTTTAGAATTTTACTCACATAGTAAAGTCACTTTTTTTAGTTTTACTCACATAGTATATGGTTGAATCATAATACATTAAGTTTCTGTTTGTTACCTCATCTTGTAACAACAGTTGAAGAACTTTCACCTAATTTAAATAGCACATTTGAAATAGTAAGTATAGGTAAAGATAGGAATCCAAGTCAATTCAGATGAAAGTTAATTTGCCAATAGCAGGTTCACTGAATGATGAAGAGGCCACGTCACCCACATGAAGCTGCCTGTGATTGAGAAAATGTACTATAGCTTTGAACATGAGACTCAAAGCAAAAGTCACAGATCATAATGCAGGTGAAGACATGATTGAGCTGCTTCTCCAGTTGGCAACTCTACATAGCAGGCTCAACACAGACTCCACAGATTTTTCAATGGCTAACAAATCTCCTGAACACACTGAGGAGGTCAGCTAATTTTTAATTAGGAAAACATCAGAGATAAATAAAAGAAGAGTGAGCAGTTTATTTCCATCATTTTACATGGAAATTTTATATCACTTTACATTTTACATTATTCATTTTACATGAATAAGAATACTATGAGAAACATTCATGGCACCAAGAAATCTGTGATTACAGTAAATGCAAAGCAATGATGCAGTGACATGCACATATTAATGACATGTCAGAACTGGTCACTTCTTTTATTATTTAACAATATAATATAACAGGATTTATTTATGCATGTTCTTTCAGAGAATATTCTTGCTTTTGTAGAAGTAGAATAGACACCTAACAGAAAAACCTAAAACTCATTGTCAAAGATAAAATTTAATTGTGAAAAACTTATTTTTACTTTGTTTTCCTCATATATGTCAATGTTTTAATACTTTAAGTAGTTCATTTGCTCATATGCATGCTTGTTAAGTTTTTTTGTCAATACCACAACAAAAAAGATTATGGCACTGATTGCTTTAATTTCCTGAAAATGTGAGTTTTGCCAGGTAGAAGATGAGTTAAGAGGTGGTATCAAAGTCTTCACATGCTTAGTACAATGTGTTGTGCTGATAAATACAAAAAGTCATATGTATTTCATCAAACAAACAAAGTGATAGAGAACTGTTGATTGGTTTTCCACTATCATGTCTCAATCCGTCTTTTTAGGCTTACTGTCCATATTAACAAACTGGTACTACCATTTGCTCCATCTGAATTGCACACTGCCTATACAGCTCTTGCTCCACAACTCTCTGGCTTTGTGCCAGCTCTCCTGTACCTGGAAAGTCCTTCCTGCTGCTCTCTATACCTGGCTCAGATCCTTCTTCTTCCATGAAGCCTCCTCTGGAAACCAACAATTCTCCTACTTCAATGGACATAAAGGGGAGGGAAGAGGAGAAAACATATTTAAAATGCTGAGCCACTCCCTCAAGATTCTGACTCAGTAGATTTTGGAGTCTAAGAATCTTTATCCTAATATCCCTAATGAGCCTGAAGAACATCAGTTGGTCCACAAAACACTTAAGAGTCACTGCAAAGACTTGACTATAGGCATCTTGCTCTCTGACCAACTCTTATAAACAAGCTCTTAACCAAACCTCATTCATCCAGTCATGTTTCCAACTGGACCGTCTTCCTCCCTTAAATCCCCCAGCACATGGAAAGAGCATAGTAAACAAAGGATTGTATTGATGGATATTCAACATGACGTAATGCACCATATTTGACAGACAACTTCAGACTCAGACACTCCTCACCTCACACATGGCATGCCTCCTCCCTTCCTTGTGGTCTGGGCATGGTTCATTCCCTGTTGCAGATCATCATAGCAACTCTGCGGGTAATGTGGAAAAGAGACAGACCACTCTGCTGGAGAAGGCCAAGGATAGATTTAATGATAATGACACTCTGGAGGCTGAAGGATAATGTCCAGTTGATTTCCCTAAAGGTGGAACAACAAAAAAAGTATTACATTTTCCGGAATGAGTGATGTAAATTAAATGTACCAAACACATCCCTGTCTAGAATGCTAATTAGGTTAGCATGGTGTGTGGAGGCACAGTCCATCTCTAGAGGATCAGAGAGTATTAGAGCTGGGAGGAAATGGAGCAATCTTTCCACATCCACACACAGCCTTCTTGCTGCTAGAAAAAAAATGTGTATGTGTGTCTCGCTATCCCAGGCTAGTTTCTCTCCCCAGGTGCACTGGACATACTTCATATATTCATGTGTATGTGTGTATGTTTGTAATTTATATACATATTCTTTATATGAAATTTACATGTATTATTTATACACACACACATATACATATATATATGTATATGTACCTTTTTTAATATAGATAAGGTCTCACTATGTTGCCCAAGCTGGTCTTGAACTCCTGGGCTCAAGTGATCCTACCACCTTAGCCTGCCAAAGTGCTGGGGTTACAGGCATAAGCCACCATGCCCAGCTCCTGGACACACTTCTATCTTTGACTTCAGTGACCTTGCCCATCAATAATGCCCTTGCTCATGCTTTTTAAACATTGAGTGGATTTTCTCATAATAATACAAATATACACAGTCTTTTTTCTGCTAGACATGAGCCAGCAGCCTTCTTCCAGCTCCTATAAGGGTGGAGAGGGACAGCCTGGCCACAAAGGCACTATGGTGAAGTTGAGCTGAAAGATGAATCCTAGAGATAGCAAAAGTGTCCTGAATCAAGCTAAGCTGTGCTTTCTAGTTTAAATTACTTCTGAAATATTAGAAAAACAGAAATTAGAAAAATTCAATATTTCATTTCTGAAATATTAGAAAAACAGGAAGGCACAAAGATAAAACATCCAAAACTTCACCACCCAAAGAAAAAGTTAAAATATGTTTTTTTTCAGTATTTGTTCTATATGTGTGTATATTTATAGGTTTCACAAAACTAATATTCAATTTTTTAAAAGGCTTGTGGAACATGACACTTCCCAAATATGTCCTTCTCCAAATTGATTATTAATGACAACATAATATTCCAGTAATAGATAACCATCATTTATTTAACTCAACCTATATTGTTGACCTTAACCTTCTTTCAATTTTTCACTATTCTAAAAGACTTCTTATTTGTTCATGGGCAACATCTCTGAATATTTCCTTACGATAAATTCCTAATGGTGACATTGCTGGATTAAGAGAAGTACCTTTTTTTAAGACATTTGGCATACTTTATCTCTCTCCTAATTGCCTCTCAGTATCGGTAGAGTCAGTTCTTTTATAATGCTTGTTTTGAAAGTGTGTTGCAATATGATAGATTTGTTAGGGAGCGAATAATTCCAATGTATCGTAAATTTCACATTTGCTTTTATGAAATAATGTCCTCTGCAAGAAACACTAGGTGAACTCAGAAAACTGCATCCTACTCAATGGAGGCATGTAAGAATACACAAAATGCACACATGAATTTACCCCAAACATCTACCACCTACCTCAGTTGACCATGTACATTGTGAGCCACATGTAGGCACATCTGGTGTCATAACTTTCTCTAGTTTCAGATGGCCCTCCCTCCACTTCACAGTAATTCACAAGCTGCAATCTTTCTGTTTCCCACTTTCATAAGCAAAACTTTAGGTCTGTTGCAAGGTAAAATGTTATATTCACTGCAGATTTTAAGAATTTTTTAGCCATCTAACATGTGTAAAACTATGCTATCATTTTTGCAAGGTTACTATTTTCTTTTTTAATGTATCACTGATTAATTTTCCAGTGTTGTACTCTGAACCTCATTCTCCCCTTAAGCTCTGTGGTTTTTATTGTACAATTTTATGTGGCACGATGATTTTTAGGAACACATATGTCACATTCTAACAGAACTGACTGTACCTGAAACTTAGCACACCTGAAACAACCTTGATTTGCAATTATCCCAGAACCTCTTCTTTTTCCCATGTCATCTCAGAAAATGCTATTAACATCTACTTTGTTACCAAGTTAGAAACTCAGACATCACCCTCAATGATCAGCAGTAGAAACAACCAGTTTCCTTCACTGTGTGCCTATTGTGTGGTAGACAGAGTGCTGGTTGTTATTCTCCTTGATTTGTCATCAAAACGATTCTATGTCCAATGATTCCTTAGATTCATTTCATGTTTTCCATTCTCACGTTCCCCATTCTGGCAGGTTCTCATTAACTACTGCATGGCCTATTGGAAATCCATCAACAGACACCAGATTCTCTCTGTTCTAATGCTTCCATTATGCTACTTCATTTGCATGGGATGACCTTCCTCCTTTTTATGCATGATCAATTTCTGCTGAGTCTTGAAGTAGCCGCTCAAATAGAAGCACCTTTTCCAACTCTTCTTTGACTTTCTTAGGCAGCTCATTGCTGCTTATCTTTGTCCTCACAGCACCATTTTCCTCAAAATAATTTAAATAAAGTATACTTTAAATGGATGGGCAGCTTTTATTTATGTGGCTAATTTTTTAATTAACTCATCTTAACCATGTTAGTGGCACACATAAACCGCCAGCCCTCAATAAACTCTGGGATTTTGACAGAACTCTATATCTAACCACATGGACTTCATCTCCTTCCTCTCCACCCACCCAATGTAATCATTGTCCTGAATTTCACGCTCATCCTTCCTTTGCTTCCCTTTGCTTTATCACATCTGTATACACTTCTCAAAATTATTTATTTTTATTTTCCTGGTTTTCAACACCATAAAGAGTAGCATGCTGTATGTGACTATTTAGAACATTTTTTCACTTCATGTTGTATTGTAAAGTCCATCTACATTGTTTATGTCACTATGATGCACTTGTTTGACTGTATATGTCCATCGTATTGAGCTTATTAATTGGATAGTTCAGATCTTCTACCCCCTTGTGGATATTTTTGTCTTCTTAACAATAATTAAGACAGACGAAGATTAAAAGCTCCCATGATAATGGTGTATTTATCAATTTCTCCTTGAAGTTTGACCAATTTTTGCATCGAATTCTTTTAAACAGTTGTGTTATATTTAAATTCTTGAATCTTTCGGCGAATTGATTCTTTTATCATTATGTAGTGATCTTCTCCATCCCTCATAAAATCTTTCTGTTTTTATTCTGTATTTTTACATTATTTATAATACAATGTTATTACATAATAAAGTCTATTATTATTTATAATCTGATGTGAATATGACTATTGCAGCATTCTTTCATTAGTCTTTGTTTGATATGTCTTTTTTAAAATGTATTATTTTATTTTCAATTTGTGTGTGATATTATGCTTTAGGTGTGGTTCTTGTGAACCGCATGTAACTGGACTTTTTAAAACTAGTTTGTCTATCATTATCTTTAAGCTGGAAGTTTAGACCGTTTACATTATTTGTGATTTTTTACTCCTCTTTTTATATATTTATATATTTTTATATATTTTGTGTTAATTCTATCTTATTACCAATTATAATTTCTTATTTCCAATTATAACATATAATATATAATAAGAAATTTAGCATATTCTAACAACATTTGATCTTGTCTCCACACACCTATCATATTTGTTTTACGTATGCTTTAAGCTACTAAGATATATTCTTATTCTCTCATTATTTCTTGCTTTTAAACAGTATTTTTAAATACTTGATTGTCTTCTTGCATTTGGGGCTCTGTTGAAAAATCTGTCTTATGTTTATTCCCTTGTATGTGATTTCTTCTCTGGAAACTTTTGTAATTTTTCTGTTTTTGATATTCTTAAACATCACTATAATATTCCTAGGTGTGGGGCTTTTCTTCTTTCTTCTTTGGCATTTCATGAACCCTTTCAATATGAAATGAGCTTTCATCTTTTTGAATTGAAATGTTTAGGGCGATTACTGTAGAGTCACATAGCTGTACAGAATAATATAGCAAGATCCCTATATACTTTGCTCAGTTCCCCCAGTGGAAACAGTTTACATTTCTGCTTGGTTATTTTTGTGATTGCTTGTTCTTGTTTCATAATTTTAATATCTTCCCCAATCTATTTTTAGGTTAATTTGGCGTTCTTGGTTATCTGGGTTGGAGGTGTTTTTTCCCCAATATTTCACTAATATTTTCCCTAATATTTCTGCTTATGATAAAAATTCGATGTTGTTTTTCTTTTGAAATACTCATGCTCTCAAACATACTGTTACGTTGGCCTGACCCCTGGGATGACCAGCTACTTTGCCAGGCTTCAAACACAGGAAAAACCCAAACCCCTATCTGTGTCAGCCCAAAGAAGCTCAGGGAAGGGAGAAAGCGGGGAGGTGCAAAGACCTTGGCAACCAGAACACCACTGCCAATCCTCCTTACTCCACAAAACAACTCTTTATGTTTAAGCGTTAACTTCTAATCCCCAGGGAATAACAGTTTTATGTGGGAACATTTCTTACATTATAATTCACCAGTGCTATGATTAGAGGAGGAGGAGGTAGGTAAGCAACTATCCTAATAGTGAGTTCTCGCTGATTTTTTTCAGCTTCTCATAAGCAAAGGGCTTCTGTTGTTGCCTCTTTCTCCTCAGGACACTTGTACTAGAGATCGGAGCCAGTGCAGATGTGGTAGCCGTACTGCTAGCCTCAAAGTAATGGTGTGGGGGAAAGAGCAGAGCATTAACATTTGCAGAAGCTGAAATCCAGTGAGCCACTTTGTCTTTCAGTGAGTTTTAAACATTATGAGAATATAAGGGTGGGCATTTTTTATATGGCTATTCTATGAGCTGTAGATTTAGAAAGCTGAATACTCATCTTTCTACTCATTATAAATATATATATTAAAAAATATAAGACTTTACCCTGCAGACAAGTGAACCTAACTCCCCGGAACAAGCAACCCTCAGTCCCATGGGAATGCCAGAGAGAAGACAAGCAAAGAACTTGGAATTCTAAAGCTTTCGGTAAGACCCCATTAGAAACAGAGAAGGCATAGTGAGAACCTTAGGGGAAAATATCAT